CAAACCAACATTTATTTTTACGTTATCAAATTCGTGCCTGTTCTTATTCCTCCACTCAAACAAATAATTGTTCACAATACAACGAAATGTAATTGTTTTTATGTGTCAATTCTTAGTAAACGTTCTGGTCTTGGGGCAGTTCTTGTTGATAAGTACAATTGAATCATTGTATCAATAAAAATGACATCTATATGATGTATTCCAGCTGTAAGCTACGTAGTTTTATGAAATTTTGCTTTATTGAAATAACAAAAAGGATTTCGAAAATAAAAGTCTCAAATTGAACAGTGTAGATTCAGTTACTTATAAATATACATTAATTTTCCCTAGAAAGAATCATACATATAATTTTGATTAAAAAAAAAAAATGCACTTCAATAAAAAACTTTTAATTGTTATTAGCATTATTTGTTTAATCAATTTTATTCAGCCAGCTTTATCACAATGTACTTCTTGTAAAACTCTAACTAACCCTAAAAAGTCACCAGTGATTGTTACATCACCTAATGGAGCAAACATACGTGACAAACCGTGTATAAGTGGAAACGAAATTGCCAGCTTGGGAAAAGGTGCTAAATTTAACCCTGAGAAAGATTGTGTTGGTCAATGTGTATCTGATGGTGCTATAACCAATATTTGGCTTCGTGTTGGTGTTAAAGGTGGTAAGACTGGTTTTATATGGTCCGGTGCAACCGATTATCCTTTTACACCCTGTGGAGCAAATGCTTAGTAATCTTGAAATTAATAAATATCATTATTTGATATATATATTTTTTAACTTGTATAAAATCATTATTATTTTCAAATCAATTGCTTTTTTTCTCGTTCTATTTTAATGTATTAGCTATAAAATATTTTATCAGGCAGGTCCCTATGTAATCACTGGCAGAAATAAACAAACTTATTTTTCCAACTTATTATATTATAATCATGTGGTACAATCAGGTTATTGTTTAATAATAAGAATATAATATCCTTTTTTTCACGTGTCCTTTGGACACATGAAAAACATATTAATATTGACCTACGTATCTACCGACACCTGCCTGATAACAAGAACATAATATTGATAATAAAATCCCATTTTATTATTTGTCTATAATTTTTATATTTAAACAATAAAATAAATCCAATTAAATATGCATTTCCTATGACACAATAATCATTAATATCACCACCGTTGGTTTCATTAATTATAAAAATGATATTTCAAATTAATGATTCTGATTTCAATTTTGACGATAATTCTGATACATTGGCAGAATTATTTGACTTAAAGTAAAAATGCCAGCCAAGAATCTTCCTGTGAGTAATTTAAAAATTTATTATTTACATTACTTAATATTTAAACAAATTTCCAATGTGATTGGAATGTGTAAAACTTATTGAACAATGTTTTGGAACATGATAATTCTTATCTGTTTTGGAAAATTTAGTCATAAGGATTTGCATTATATTAAAAAACCCTATTTTTGTTAATTTAATTTTTTTACTTATTGACTTCCTGTTTGGAAATAAAAAAATTTATTAATTAGCAAGTTTATTAAGATTTCATCAAAAAATTTATATTATAATTGCATTTTTTGTTTCAAAAATTAGACAATATAAATATCGCTCTTTTTTATGATTCAAAATGAGTTTATTCTAGCTTATCTCTTATCTATACGCGTTGTTCATCAAATAATTAATTTAATTGGTTCTAGGTGGTGTGGCGAAATATCCTTTCATTTTTTAATGACATCAAAAAAGTCATCATAGAAGATATCAAAGAAAATCTCGTTATATGAATAAACTTTATTATGAAATATTTTCATCGCACATATTAATATGTTTTGTGTGTTAATGTATTTATTATAACATTGCATCAAACGTGCATTTATAATGATAGATTATATTAATATGCAAACAAGAATGTGTAAATAAACAAATCATGACTTTTAAGAAAATAAATAATGTCCTTAAAAAACAGTGCATAATTTTTCAATATAATAAAAAATATCTTTTACCATGATTGTGGTTAATTAACCTAATCAGATTTTAGGCCAATTTCAGAATTTTAATGTCGAATTGATTCATTCACTATTTGTCAGACCTAGGTTTATTATTATTTTCCATATTTCCAACGATCTCTTCAACAACTTTCTCAAACGAACTTCTTTTAACGACAGTAACTTTCCTTTTCTTGGAAAAGATCTCTTGATTAATCACTCGGGTGAACAAATGCATCTTAAATAATGGCATCTCATTCTTGTTGTTATTTGATGATGATGACTCTACAAATTTATACGTAAACTCAAATTTCAAGACTTCTAAACAACTCCCGTCCACACTATCTCCAAATTTTCTTTTAACGTGTTGGAATTTATTAAATAAACATTATATAAACTACGTTATTTTGTTACATTTCACGATGTCATTATCATTGTCGTAATTATTGTTGTTAATGTCGTCGTTGTCGCCAACATTGTTATTACTGAATGTGACTTTTGTTGATTAAACTATTGTTAACTAAAAAGTACGCGAGAGAAATTTAATATTGAGGAAAAAATTAAGCTCTGGTTATTATTAAAATAAGTTTATCAACACATATGTAAGGACTTTGAGCGCTACCACAAAGTTTCTTTCATACTTATCATCCTCTTAATTCACGAAACTTCGATTAAACAATTTATTTTATAAATTTACTTATTTATCATGTATGTTTAGACAGCCTTGATTATTATGATATACAGATCATCAATATGATAATGTATATTGTGTCTCAACATTAAACACGTTAAACATGATCTGTAAACTGGTCAATAGAATGATAATTAACCCCCAAAAAAGTTGTTTGCTCTGCTAAAAAAAACTGTTTTACTATTCGGTACCTGTCAAACCAATGGCCCACCTCAAAACCAATGGGGTTTTGCTAATATCATACTACCGTACTGGATTTTGAGGTTCAAGCAAAATCAGTGCATATGAATAATTTGTTGGTATAAAGTTTGAGTTTTGGTATAAAATTAGTTTCAGTAAGAGTTTAGGTTTTAAGTTAGGGTTTAGGTTTTGGTGATTTTTTGTGTTTCGATATAAAATTAGTTTCAGTATGGGTTTTGGTAAGAGTTTAGATTTTGGATAAGGGTTTAGGTTTCGGTAAGGTTTAGGATTTTAAAAACTCCCTAAACTAATTTGGGGAGGCTTCGGTTTCGGGGTTTCCCTAAACTCTGAGTTTAGGGTCAAAACATTGTTCCAGACATTTTAACACTAATTTAATTTTCTATCTTAATGGCAATGCCAAACTTTCGTTAGTTACACATTCTAAAAGGTTGTTGTTACTTATATTCATTACTAAAAAAATCTAATAATTATAATTAATTATTTAATAATAAAAAACCAATAATAATAACTACTCATCTGTTCAAGCCATAAATGATACTTCTGAACAAGATTTCACATTGCAGTCAAACAATTCCATAACGAACAGGTTGGAGTCACAGACAGCTAGAGCGATCTTGCGTTTAAATAATGTATTCAAATAAATCCAATAGTAAATAATGCTTAGTTCGTAATCCGTGAAACAACTGCAAAAATTTGCCGATTATTTAATATGTTTTTGTGGCGATAATAAACATTATCTTTTAAACGGTCAGAGTATTCTTTAATGGTAACACAAATTAAAGTTTTGATTATTCTTATTGGACAATTTAACGATCAGCAAAGTAAAAACAGTCATCGACCAACTTTTAAAGAAGATTTTACAAAAACCACAAAGACAACAACCGAATTTTTATTTATAGATTAATCGGCTGAATCTCAAAGATCATTTTCGTATTAGAATAATTTTCAGGAGTTTTGAGAAGACATTACCTCACGTGACCAACGTGAGTCAAGAAAATTATATGACCACGATAATTTTTTTTTATTTTAAAAAGAGTAACTATTAAAAACTAAATAGAAATAACATATTTATATTTTTCTTGGATAAAATTAATTCTACAACCATTTTTACATCATAAATATTTTTAATTGCTTACTCAAACCTTTAGTAATTTTAGGCAGGAATCCAGCGATTCCTACATATAAACATAAAATATATTATAAGAAAATCCCTTTGAAATTTATGTATTTAAACTTCGAGATTTATATCATGTGTTAAAAGTACAATTTTAGTTTATATCAACATAAAGGGTGGTTACGTTGGGAGTGAAAGTTGGAGTCCAGAAAATTTTAACCTCAGAATATCCGCAAAATTTTGTCACAAAAAAAAATATCACAAAATTTTATGATAAAATAGAACATTAATATTTATTATCTCAAAAAAAAAAAAATCTTATATTCTAATTCACAAAACAATTTCAGAAATGACATCTGGAAAAATAAATATATATAATTAATTGACAAAAATGGACATGTTTATTTTAGTAATTTATGTTCATAACTAAAGCTCCTCATGAGTTGGCTTGCGAGCCAAAAAACTTATTCAGCTTGCGAGCTGGCTCATGCGGAGCCTTATTCATAACTAATCTTATTTTAGAAATCATTGGCTTAATCATTTGACGTTTTTCTCAATGGTGGCATTAATCATTCTAATGGTGATGTCAGTCATTCAATTTTTAAAAGGTTTTGATGTAATTAATACTGTAATAGTAATATAGTAATTTTACATGTCATGAAAAATCAATAAATAAATCGGAAATGATTTATGAAAGTTGCACGCAAGTAAATCAGAAAAACTGATCAAGTATTCCAATTTCATATTGTTATATAAAATAATTGACTCACGGAAATTATCTTAAACGACGGAAAAGTAAATATTCTAATATTCTAATTCTAAATGTAATAGACATTTAATTCTTAGATTTAATTTAAATGAAGGAATTTAAATGATCAGATCACTTTGGAAATAACTTGAAAATAATTCTACGCAGAAGGTTCAAGTAATACATTTAATTAGAATTTCAAAGGAATCGGAGAACTAGATGATAGAACCTGTAAATAATGTTGTAATTTTCTCAACTTCGTTTATCATATATATAATCAATTAATTAATCATCATTTAATAAATAGCACTATCCTTGACCTTGTCCTTGACCTTGTCCTTGTCCATGTTGTTTTCGAATATTGTATTTTTGTAATGATAATAAATCTATCTCTAATAGTGAATCCATACTAATCCCGTGCATACTTACATCAGGAAAATAAATCTCATGTAAACCTACGCAGGGCTTAAAACTGACCAGCATTATGCGGAAATGTTAACAGAATTACCAAAATATCGACATAATGCTGGTCAATTCTGAACCCTACGTAGGTTTATGTAAGATTTATTTTCCTGATGTATTTTATATTTGTTTCTATTATTTTTATTATTTTTCTTTTGTAATATTTAATAAATTTTATTTAGTGAAGTTTGGAGATGTGGCAAAGAGGAAAACAGCTAGAAGGGCACCAAGAAATGTGATCAGGATATATAGTGTAAAATCCAAAGAAGATATTGTTGAGTATTTCTTAGTATAAAGAATTGTTTAATGATAGTGAAAAATAGTTTTGAGAGTAAAGAATAAATATACATTCATGGAAATTGTTATGATTTAGTATAAGTAAATTGGAAGAAATTGTATTAACATTGATTGTTGGCATTTATATAAATAAAATATTGAGATACACTGTGAAATACAGATTTCAATCTTATAGTACTTATTAAAATAATGAAATTTGTATAGATATGAGTATCATTACTATTTTAATTACATCAAAACCTTTTAAAAATTGAATGACTGACATCACCATTAAGAAAAAATTGAATTATTAATGCCACTATTAAGAAAAACGTCAAATGATTAAGCCAATGATTTTAAAATAAGATTAGTTATGAACATAACTTACTAAAATAAACATGTCCATTTTTGTCAATTAATTATATATTTTTTTCAGATATCATTTCTGAAATTGTTTTATGAATTAGAGTATTTATATTTAATAATTTTGCAGATATATTTTTTTTTGTGATAATAATAATAAATATTAATGTTCTATTTTATCACACGAAATTTGCGGATATTTTTTGTGGATTAATAAATAAATGAATTTATTGAGTTAAAACCTATGTGCGCAATTCATATTCCAAAAAATTTTTATGAATTCACGTTCAAAACACTATTAAACCGATCTTTAACCGATCTTTAACCGGTATTTGAGACTGAAACAACACAACCCCAGTCTCAATGGACCATGACCTGTTACTAATTCTGAATTAATCTAATTCGAAACTTAGCGTAACAATGTTACTTTTTTTGGGTCATCTGGATAATCTTGCGCTTTGAAAGTTTCAGTCACAGTTTGCTTGATAGCGTCTACTTTTGTTATTATTTCTTCCAAAATGTCATTATATGTTGCACTGGACCATTATCCTTAAAATGGTGTTGCTTACATGCCACTATTTTAAATTTCTGATTTTTATTATTGAACACTTCCATCAGAAGCGTCAACTTTTCAACCTTTACTTGTTCCATTAAAAGCATTAGGATTTTTTCTAAATAAACAATACAACGTAAAACACTATCAATTACTTTTCGGTTAGCATCCTTTTCGTTAGCCATGCCTTCATTAATTCTTTTGGTTTTTATCAAAGTCAACTTTTAATTCGAAGTATTCTTTCCGAAAACTGACTAATGGTATTAGCTTCTTTTTGTGTTTCTCCTTTTTCCCCAGTACTTTTATTTATCATCATACCCTTGGTTGAGAGATAAACTCATGCCATTTTTCTCCCACTGCTAATAATTAACAATACTCGATTACCTGTGCCAATTTGAAGGGAAAATTATCAGACTTTCAATCCTTAACTAACTCTTCTCGGTAAAAATGAAAATGTATTTCCACGCAAACTCTTCTTATAAGAAAGTCGTCGGTTTAAAACAATAAAACAGCACTATTCTTCCTTAAATCAACATTTAAGTTAGGAAACAATTTCTCCATCTTATCATGGTTTTTTTCATTATACAGTTTAAATGGATTGTCGTTCAAAAATTATTATTTGGGTGGAATTTGAATTTGAGCATATTGAGTTTGTTTTGTTTCAAGAGAAATATTTGATTTTTCTTTTAATTTATTTTGTAAACTTGTCTGAGTTTTTGTTTAAATTCATTAAAACGATATCTCTTTCAAAAAAAAAAATAAATAATGTACAGGAACAACATATATGAGTTATTGCATACGGAGCATGCAATTAATGAAAGCTCAGCAATCACTCTTGATTTTTTAGTCATTTTTGAAGCGTTCCTGCATTCAATAACCGATTTATGTACACTCAGTGGACAAAATTTTGCATCCAAAATTTCTTTTGAATTTATTTCAAAATTATACTAATTAAAATATTGTAATCTTTATATCATTCGAAAGCTCTT